CTGTCAAGTCGTCCGGCTTTTGCTCTCGTTCTGTCTCTCGTACCACTCTCGGTTCCACTTTTACTTTTGCGCGCTACCTGTCTCACTCTTTTCCGGCCTCCAGCTTTTCCTGCTGGAGCCCGCCGCTTAAAGGTGGGGGGCGCGGACCGGCCATAGAGCCCATAGAGTTAAAGGTGGTGGACTGTAACCTGTAAAATCCATAGATTTAGGAGGTCCCCTAGTGGCCGTTAGCTGTAAAAATCCATAGATTAGCCGCACCGTTATATAAACCGCAGCGTCGAAAAATGGGAAAATTACGGTACTCTAATCCTAAAAACTGGTTATTATTCAAAGACTTATTTTTTGTATTTTTTTCAGGTGGCACTACCCCACTCACTGCCCATTCCTCGGAGAGAGACCCTGCAGCAGAGCTCCAGCCTCAGCAATGTCTCTCCTGCTACTGTTGACCTAACACTAAAGGTACACAGAGAAGCAACACACCGTGCTGTACTTCGGAGAAAGGTTTCAGTTTAACATGACCTAAATACCTGCTACATTCTGTCTCCTCCTCAGATGGAATCGGCTCGTAAGGCGTGGGAGAATTCCCCGAGTCTGGAGAAGAACTCTCCCGTCGTGTCCTCTTCCTCCCCCATCACATCCTGTGCGTCCTCGTACTCCACCTTCTCTTCAGCCTCTATGCCACAGATTCCCGTGGCTTCTGTCACCCCCAGCACCTCTCTGACAGGTAACATGACTCCCAGTAAACATCTGCCTTATATCTCCAATAGTGTTGTCAAAGATGTTCATGTTTTACACATTTTCATCTCCACCCTGAAGGTTCTGGTACCTATACAACGTCATCACTCAGCACCAAGACCACCACAGCCTCGGACCCCCCTAACATCTGTAAGGTGAAGCCCCAGCAGCTGCAGAGTGGCGGTCTGTCCTCCAGCAGCAGCAGTAGCAGCAGCAGCTTCTCTCAGCTGGGCTGTGTGCCTACACTCCTGCCCCAGCAGCAGCAGACCCCCCAGGTGTACGTCTCTCAGTCTGCAGCAGGTGAGAGAAACATGGCACTGAACTGTGACGTTTGTTATGTCTTTAAATGTATACTTTAAACACCAACCTGCTTGTTCTTTTGATAGTCCTGATACTTCAGTTTCGTGTTTTGGATGATCCACTATGTTCATAATCCCTAATATTCAAACCCTTGTATGTTGAGGTTCTGCAGCTCAGATTCCAGCCTTCTACATGGACACTAGCCACCTATTCAGTACCCCCCACCCTCGCTTGGCACCTCCCTCCCTGGCGCAGCAGCAAGGTTTCCAGCCCGGCCTCTCGCAGGTAGGACGGTCTCTTTGTCAGAAACAAGCTGCAAGAATGTTTTTTTAAACATGGAGGTCAAACTGCGTGTCTGTGTTTCTCCACCTTCTAGCCGACAGCAGTGCAGCAGATTCCAATCCCCATCTACGCTCCACTGCAGGGTCAGCCGCAGCACCAGCACCATAACCAGCACCATAACCAACACCATAACCAACATCATAACCAACACCAACAACATCATCAACAACATCAACAACAACAACATCAACAACAACAACAACAACATCATCAACAACAACAACACCAACAACACCAACACCAACATCAACACCAACATCAGGCTCAGCTGGGACTCAGTGCCGGTCCTCCAGTCTCCCAACCACAGGACCTGTTCAGTTCCTCACTGCAGCCTTACAGGTACCACTCAACACTGCACAGGTACTCAGTTGAAACACAGGGGAAATATGCAGGACTGCAGAAGCACCAGTATCCCCATTTCCAACTCTAATGTTCTAAAGCTGCTCCAGTTAGGAAGAAGCATTGGACTTCCAATCACATGTTGTATTTAAAGCTTTTTTTGATGATTGAGCACTTTTTATTTGTAAAACTTTTCTTAACAGCATTGCAGACTAAGTATTGAAATAAAATACATTTTTCATTGGTTTATTTTTTGGCTTAAATCACAACTCCACTGAAACCATTTTAGCTGCGCGATACGATATTGTCCACTGATTAAATAAATAATTGATATCAGTGTACTGATGGGTGCATCTCTATTATTCTCTCCTGACTCATGTCCCGCTCCATCCTCAGGTCTCAGCAGGCCTTCATGCAGAGCAGCCTGTCGCAGCCCTCCATGATGCTGTCAGGACCCTCCCTGCACAGCTATGCTGGCGTGCAGGCGCCTGATCTAGGCAAACCTCAGTCTAATCTGGCCTATCAGCAGGCCTCCTCCACCCAGCACATTCCCATTCTGTTTGAGCCGCAGCTGAACCAGCCCTCCGGCATGGGGGGCTCCCAGCTCATAGACACACACCTGCTGCAGGTAACCAGTCTGTTCCCAGAATTGATTTACTGTATTATACTGTCATATATTTTCCTCATACTGACATCTGTATTTGATTTATTTTGTGTACATCCAATCAGACTTATCTGTCTTTGGTGCAGGCTCGACAAGGAATGAGTCAGCATTCAAACATGTACTCAGGGCAAGTCCAACAGCATGGCCAGAGCAGTTACTATAGCAACGCTCAGTCGCCCAGTTCTGCAATGCAACAGGTAACCAATACGCAAACACGGTGATAAAAACTTACATTTTAAACTTCATATTTATAGCCTATGTTGTTTACCACTCATCCACACATTGATGTTAAACTGAAAAGCAGCATGGTTTTCTCATCAATGATTTGCTGTTGTTGGTATGTAACATCTTGATCTCTCTCCAGGTGACAGTCCCTCTGTCCAGTTCCCAGCTGTCGCTGTCAAACTTTGGCTCGAGTGGAGGCCAGCCCCTCCTGGCGCTGCCTCCCACTCCCCCTCAGTCACAACCTCCCAACATCAACAGACAGCCCCCCATCTCCCAGCCGTACCGAGGCCTCATGGGCCCGAGCCACAGCATGATGCAGCCCCCTACCAGCAAGGTAATGCTGACATATTTGACGCTATTTAATTTTAAATGTTGTGGGAATGTGGTTGTAACGTTTGTTTGCGCTGTCACCTTCCAGATGGACATGGATCTAAAACTATTTGGCAGTGGGATGGATATGAAGCCCGGAACGCCTCCTATCGGTGCCAGGAGCACTACACCCACCTCCAGCCATTACAGGTACCACCCATACATTCTTATCACACCGCAAATGTGGATTAACAATTGGAACCAAAACTCTGAATGTGCAAGCCTTGCAAGGCCCTGCTACCTGTTGTGTCCTTATTCGTACACATTTGTGCTACACAGACCAAAGTCAATGTATCTGGTACTTAACCACCATGTGTGATTTCATGGTTTCCCTCTCCTCTGCCTGCAGGGCCAGCTCCACCTCTCCCAGCAGCCAGTCCAGTAAGATCAACAGCATGCTGTACCAGAAGCAGTTTCAGGCGAGCTCCGCCGGCATGAGGATGGCACAGCACTTCCCTGGCCAGTACAACCCACAGGTAGAGCAGTCGTCATAAAGCCTGTATTTTAGTAGTGTCTATAGAATGTTCACTAGCATGGAACTCAACTGTTAACCACCAATTCATTGTTCCTCCAGATTTTGTCTCAGCCCAACCTGGTCTCTCCTCTGGTTCGTCCTCCTCACGTTAACTCGTTTGCCGGAGGTGTCCAGCGCTCCCCTATGGGCCCTCAAATGTCAACCAATGTGGGTGGGGGTCTCATGCCCCATCCCCGACCTCAGCACCCACAGCACCTGCAGCATCCACAACACCCACAGCACGGCCAGCACCCACAGCACCCTCCCCGAGGGCCTCCTCCCCCGCCGGCTCCCAGAGGCCCACATGCCATGAATGCTGAACAGGATCTAAAGGTCTGCTTCCTTCATGTATTCGTTGATTCTGTTCTTCGTTTCATTTAAAGGGAAAGTTTGGATTGTCCGCAGGGGGTTGTATAGGTTTTTTTGTTGTTGTCTATAGTCAGTAGGGGTGCAACAACTAATCGACTTAATCGATTGAAATCGATTACCAAATTAGTTGCCAACTAATTCAGTCGTCGATTCGTTTGTGGCGTCATCACGTGTGTTTTACGTGCTGTTAAGCTCCAACGTTATTGGTCTTTTTATCGTTACTGGAGACATTTAAAAAAAATATGTCATGTATTATTGCTACAAAAACATTACATCGCAGTCTTAGTGTCGCCAACTCGTTTCTAATATGCAAAAAGACAAACAAATGCGTCTATGATGTATTTTCGATCAGACGAGATAGATCTCTCCCCCGTCTGTGTGTGAGGGGGCGGGGCAGTTTACACACACGCAGCAACACACTGCGGAGATGGCGGAGAGAACGCGCTCCGAGGTGTGGTTAAACTTTACCCCTCTCGATGTGGACAATGAGAGTGTTTGAGAAATTGTGCAAGGCATACAGTAATAGTCCGAATAGTCCATTAATCGTTTCATTAATCGATTATCAAATTAGTCGTTTGTTGCAGCCCTAACGGCTTCTACACACGGCGGCGTGCGTTGCCGCTTCAACGCTTCTGCCAATTCACTTTGAATGGGTTGACGTCACGATTCGCCGAACTGCATTGTGGGAGCAAAGCGTAGCTTCTCTCGCGGTGCTCGCTGCAAAAGTAGAGCAACGTTCTACCTTTGCCGCCTCGACGGAGGCGTCAGCCAATCGAATCATATGCCAGTGCAAGCTCTAGCCAATCAAACCGCGTGCTTGTGTGTCTGGGGCGGGAGATTCATGTGATTTGGTTGTTGGTCGAGTTTCAGCGTTGTGAATCGCGCTGAGCTCCGTGGAGGTGTTGTTTCCTTGTTTAGCCAAACACAGCCAAACTCATCCTGAGCACACACAAAGTCACAGCCGAAGTAAAAACAATACGTGTGGCTTGATATTGAGTAAGAAAAAGGTTGATAAACGCTGTGAGAATGGGTCTGCAGAGAGAATTTCACCGCGATCCCAACTGTCTGTTATCAGCCTGCAGCCAGGGAGGAGAGATCAGCAGAGCTGCATGCACGGAGTGTGTGTGTGAGGAAGTCCGTGGATTGGTCAATTTGGACCAATCAGCGGGGGCCTAACGTAACTGCTCCACGGATTGGTCCATTTAATCTCGTACCCGGAAGAATCAAATGGATGATGACATTTCACCAACGAGGCGTTTTGGGGAGGTATTTTCTGTGTTAGAGTTTTACTCGCTACAGGGTGTACTTTAAGGGTTTTGACTCTGCAGACCGTTTACATGCATAAAAACCTTCATAACACACAAGGGGACGGGTAATAACCGGAAAAGCATGACATGGGACCTTTTAAATAAAATGAAAATCAGTTTAAGTGTATGCTATATTTACCTTTCTGTCAGACCAATAACCAACCAAGTTACCAGACTCCATCGACAAAAGAACCTAGCAGAACACAGGTTGCTGGTCTACCATTGCCTCAGTGATGAATTAACCTTATTGTGTGACCCAACCCAATGCACAATAACTAAACCTTGAGAACTGATGGACCATAGGGGTGTAACGGTTCACAAACATTTTGGTTCGGTACATCCCTCGGTTTTTAGGTCACGGTTTGGTACTTTTTCGGTACAGCAGAAAAAATGATCACAAAACATAAAATATTAGTTTTGGGTTTTTAATTATTAACCTGAATATTCACTCAAATAAATACAAAATATAATGAAATAATCTGTATTTAAACTGTACTGTACTACTAGTACCTAAGCAGCCAGCTTGACATTAGGACTGGCTTGTCATTGTTTTGTTTTTTTTAAAGAAAGATGAACTTTTCCACATTGCTTGCCGAAAGGGCAGATCTGCTGGCACTAACAATGCCTCCTGCTGTGGAGAACACCCTCTCGCTAGGGACAGAGGTAGCAGATACAGACAGGTAGCGCTTTGCTAACATGCTAACATAAGGATATTTGGCGTTTGTAATAGCTTTGGCTCGGTCTGAACTTTTTGCGAGTGGTGGAGGCTTAAATGCTAGTGGGAGTTGGGTTTGCACTTCAGTCTTTTTTCTTTTGGTACCGTTGATGTTCACGTTCGGGTGATGCCTTTTCAAATGAGTGTGCAAGTTTGATGTATTGCCAGCCGCATGAAATGACTTGGTCGCTCTATGACGCGTTGAACCCAACGTGAGCAAATTACTCTGAATGCTGCGACGCAGCACCGG